ACAATGTAGTTAATACAACAACTGGAGAATTGCCATTCACTTGTTGGTATGGCAGAAAACCAAATTTAAGTTACCTACACAAATTTGGAGCTCCAGCATGGGTGCATATTCCCTCACAAGTAAGACTGAAAGGGCAACATAGCACTAAGAAGTTAGTTTTTGTGGGTTATGAGGCCAGCCATAGATCGTTTAGATTCTGGGATCAAGGCACAGCTCATGTTTATTGTAGTGCTCGTGCAAAATTTCTTGAGTGCATTGGGTGGGATAAACTGGAACAGGAATCCAGCAATGATATTATTATTGACACCCAAATAGTCCCTAAAGATGAAATAAGTAAACCACAAAGAGCCATTAAAGAGGAAGAACAGGCACAGGAGGAGGTAGAAGAACAGGAGCAGGTGGCACAGGAAAGTCCACCAGTAAGCCCTGTATTACCAAGACGTTCAACCCAAGTAACACGACCACCTGATAGATATCAGGCTAGTGTTGTATGCCAAGTGAATACAGTTCCAAATAACTATAATGAACTAAAACTCTATCCTGCTAAGGATCAGACTGCTTGGCAGGAAGCAATGGATAAAGAACTGGAATCATTAAAAAAACTGGAAGTATACGAAAATGTTAAGTTACCACCAGGTAAACATGCCATAGGATGTAAATGGATTTATAAACTAAAGACAGGTGTAGATGGGACTGTTACCCATAAAGCCAGGTTAGTAGCACAAGGGTTTAATCAGACAGCACATGACTACGATGAGCTGTTTGCACCTAGTCTGAAGGCTACTACATTAAGGGCAGCATTAGTGTGGGCAGCTAAGCAGAAATACATTGTAAATCATTTGGATGTAGAGACAGCATATCTGCATGCACCATTGCCACACACTATATATTTAAAGAAACCTTTAGGTCTCAAAAATGATAATACAACTGATTGCTGGAGATTGAAAAAGAGTCTTTATGGTTTGAAGTAATCGGGATATGAATGGAACCAATGTATAGTTAAAGAATTATCTAAGATAGGTTTTGTAGCTGGCATGGCTGATCTATGTTTGTTTAAAAAAGAAGTAATGGTATAATTTCATTGTTGCTATTGTTTACTGATGACACAGCATTAATCACCAAAACTGAACAAGAAGCTACTAAAATAATTTCACTGTTAGAGAAGAAATTTAAGATAAAACAATTAGGAGAAATCAAGCAATATCTTGGTTTAAAGATAGATAGAACTAGGGGAGGATATAAGATCTCACAGGCAGATAAAATTAACCAATTGCTAAAAAGTTTTAAAATGGAATTTTGTAAGCTGGCTAAAACCCCAATGAGCCAGAAGTTTAGCCATAGTGATGTTCAAAGTCCTGTTTTTGATAAGAACATTTATCAGTCCTTGATTGGTAGTTTATCTTATCTCAGTAATTGGTCAAGGCCAGATCTAGCATACAGTGTTAATCAATTAGCGAGATTTAATGTTGAGCCGACTGAAAGGCACTGGCAAGCTGCTAAGCATGTGTTAAGATATCTGAAACAAACAATGCATTATGCATTGTATTTCGAGCCTAAAGATGAACTGAGTTTAACTGCATATGCTGATGCAAGTTTTGCTACAGACATAAATACACGAAAATCTACATTGGGTACTGTAATATTATTCAGAAAGGTATTGATTGGATGGAGGTCTATTAGAAACACCTAAGTTTGTCAACAATGGAGGCTGAATTCTCATGCTTGTATTTACTATGTACAGATTTAGTTTTGTATAAGCAATTATTGATTGACATGGGAATTGATGTAACAAATTCTATTGTTGTTTATGAAGATAATCAATCAGCAATACAGATGGCTTCAAATATTGCTGTTAAGACAAGAATGAAACACACAGATTTAAGGTATTTAAATGTGAGACAATGTGTGCAAAGTAAAATGATTAAGCTAGAATACTGTATGGCAGAAAACAATATAGCTGATCATTTTACAAAGGTCCAAGGCTCTATAAAGCATAAGGCGTGCTGTGAAGATTATGAACTTAGAACGTAAGGTTGTATATATTGTCATACCCAAAAGGGGAGAATGTTAGGAATGTAAGTCACCTAACAGCTATTTGGGTTGGACAATATATAAACCAGGATAGACATTTTAAAAACCGTATCTTTAGGAAAATGCAAAAGTGTAATTGGGTGTGGTTTCTCAAACGGCCATATGATGGAGCCAGAAACCTGGGTTTTTTAGTCTCAGAAGAAGTCTCAGTGAGTCTCTGTTTCTTTCTGTTGGAGAGTATTGCCGTTCCTCCATTTTTCCTAATTGACTGCTATGCTTGGATGTGATGTAAGTCTGTTACTGAATTGTTTTTGACACTAGACTTTGTTATTGGATTATCCCTGGACTAAAAACTGACTGATCTTACCTTAAACTTTGGTTAAAAGTTTCTGGAAGTAAAAACCTACATTTACTGTACAGTGTATCTGTGTTCTGTGTGTGTATTATTCAAACACTTCTCTCAAATACGTCTCCCTGTATGCGCTCATTCTCCTAATGGGGAATTATCTCAACAGAGACCAAGTGGAGCAAGTGGCCAGTTTTAAGTTTCTGGGTGTTATCATAAAAGAGGACCTGACCTGGGGTGCTAACATTGCAGCACTGGTCAAAAGGGCCCAGCAGAGATTATACTACCTAAGACTTCTCAGGAAACAACAACTGAATGAAAAACTGCTGGTGACCTTCTACCGAAGCACTATAGAGAGTATTTTAACTTACTGCACCTGTGTATAATTTGCCAATTACACAGTGGCAGATAGGACAGCACTCCAGAGGGTTAACATCAATGCCCAGAGGATCACTGGTTGCCCTCTCCCCTCTTTGGAAGAAATTTATAGCTTCTGCTGCCTTAAGAAAGTTCAAAACATTCTTAAAGTTCCATCTCATCCTGGGCACCCTTTTTTTGAAGTATTATGATCTGGCAGATGGTACAGGATAATAAAAACAAGGACACATAGACTGAAAAACAGCTTCTATCCCAGAGCAGTAACTCTACTGAATTCTACTGTATAATGCAATATTAATGCAATATCAGGGGTTTTCAATTGAATTGTATGGAACGTGAAGGATGTGTGTTTGTGTTTTATTTTTATAGTTATAATGTACACTGAAGATGGCATTTAATTCATTGTACGAGGTGCAACGACAATAAAGTAAACTAAATTTGATTACATAAAAGTTGAAGAACTTTGGAACTATCTAGAGCAGAAAACTCCTACTGGTACTGTATTAACAATGGACTATAATGCACTTTTCTTTAGAAAAAATAAAATTAAAATGTTCTGAATAATCTGAATAATATAATATATTGTAGAATTCTTTGAAACTGATTTTTATTTCATTTGAGGGAATCTTCTAAAAAGGTATGCCAAGATCAGAACCTTAATCAATGCTAAATTCTTTTTTAGATTTTTTTTTTAAATTAGTTAGATTTTCTTTTTAAAACTGGACATGAGTTTTAAATACATTGAAAGTATATTTCAGTGAAATTAAAATAGGTTTTCTCTAAATAATAGGTTTAAGTCACGTATGTTGGCAACCATAAAGCCTCAAAGATGGCCTCATCTGTCCTACTGACATCCCTGAATATTGAATAATCTACACTCACTAATGATGAGGATAAACATAATAAATGGAGTAATTAATGTATATCTCTTTATGAATGCATGTGGGACTTCTTAAAACAAATGATTATTCACTAAACTGGAAAACAGGTAAGATTTCTTCCAAAGTACAGTAAGAAATCTAGATAGCAGTTTTAACTGCTATATTAAGAATTATTGCATCATTTAAAGTATCTCCAAGGATCTCCCTTTAACATCTCCCTATTAGAATATATAAATTTGGATGCTATGTATTGTCAATTATCAAGGAAAAAAGTCAGTTAAGCTGTCTGTGGGACAATCTATCTGTATTTGCCTATTCTGTCCTGTCCACCTGTCCAACATGATACAACAGAGTTTGGGTTCCATTCATTTTGTGAGACTTAGGAAGTAGGCCGTCTTTAGAACAGCATACTCTTAAAGATTTGTAGTGTTTTTCTGACTTCATTTAAGTGAGCCATTAAAACAGGCGTGTCCAGCCCGCAGGCCGCATGCAGCCCAGGTCGGCTCGTAATGCGGCCCAGTGCCCACCCCAACCTTCATGCAAGAGGACGAGCCAGCGAGGAGGAGGAGAGGCAGGCGTGAGGCGGGGCGAGGCGAGCGTCACGCCAAGCAGCAACAGAAAAGGTGGGCGCCGTCAGAGCGCTCCTCGTGCCGAGGCAGCCGCAGCCCGAGTCCTGCTCCGCCACCTCCTGCTGTTGCCGCTGCCGCCGCAGCTGTTGTAGTGGCTTCTGCCCCCGCTGCCACTGCTGCTGCTGCACCAAGCCTCCCGGTCCTCGCCTTCCAGTCCTGCCACATCCAGCTGGACCATTTGCAGGAGGAGAGGTAGGCGCGAGGCGGGCGAGCTTTCTCCCCCCCCCCGGCATTCCTTTCTCCCTGGTTGACTATTTTTTATGATATCTTATGAAAAAAATGTTTTCTATGGTTTTTTTGGATGATCAGGTATTGTTACTGTTATTTTATTTTATGTGTGGCCCAAACCAAATTTTCATCTTCTAATGTGGCCCAGGGAAGGTGAAAGGTTGGACAAGCCTGCTTTAAAACCTTCCTCTAGGCCTTGGGCTAGATTGGGTGGCAGTTTCTTTCTGGGAATGTTGCATGCCATAGAAGGTATTTCTAGACAGGAACTTTTTCTTTGCTGTGTATTGCTCAATCTGTTTTTAATACTGTATACCACTTAGAGTTATCAAAATCTGGTAGCCATTACAAATATGATTAAATCCATCCATCCAAGTTATATTCTTCAACACCTGTTCTTCCCATTATAATACATTTTGTACATTTCAGATTTAGAGCCCTTTTTAAAATTTGACTCGGTGAGCAGTTACATTTTTTTCTTTTGATAGTTGCTTGTTTTGAGCATTTTACCTTGTAGAGCTGTTGCATGTCATACTGCATGGTGGGAAACTGCCTTCAAATTTCTGTTCTTGTGTCATACACAGGTCCACGACAGGTTCTTTTAAATTATCTTCTTTGTTTTTATATCTTGGAATCTCTATGGATTTAATAAATAAAACTGGTATCATCTATTGCCAGAAAATAGTAATCATCTTTAATAGCATTTGGAGTTGCCTCTATTCAAGTGGCTCCTATTACTATCCATAAAAACATACAGTATGAAAATACTAGATGTTATTGTCACTTCACAGATTGTTATGTGCAGTGGTAAAACCTATATAACTGGAAGTGTTCACTTTTAGAAGGATTAAATACAAACTATTAGCATTCTGCCTAGAAAACCAAATTGAAATTTATAACTGGGACAATATGAATATAATGCTTGCAGGTTTTACAAAGAAATAACAAAAACGGTGTCTCTGCCATAAAAACATTGTCTTTGTGATTTCTCAGGAAAACGTTTACGAAGTGATAGCTAAAAAAGTGATGCCACTGAAGCTGTTGAATTACAGCATGTCAGGTGTTTGTAGACAGTGAAAATGGCAGCATCTTCAAGATTAGCTAACCTTACACAAGCTGTTGTGAACAGGAGCTCACTTTCTCAGATGCTTAGAGTGGGTTTGCTATTACATGACTTTAGATTTAGGGAGTAGAAGAGGGAGAAATGGATGTGGAAAAACAAAGTTTAGCAGCTTTACCTGATTGTGGAAATTGAGAGGAAGAGACTGAGTACCACTTTATCAGTTAACAAAGATTATAGGCTAAGAGCTCACTATTCTGTTCAAATCTTCAGTAATAGATTATAATTTTTTAATTGTTTGTAATTCAGCTGCCAAAGTTTCCTGTTACGCTACTGCTATTTGAGGCCAGTGATAGTTTTTGTGAGGCTGAAATGTGCCGTTGTCTTGTTTCCATTTTGAGCGCTGCTGTTCAATTACTATCCATTTAATTTTATTCAAAAGCTATCTTGTTTTTCCTATGTAGACTTCAGAAAAATGGATTATGACATATCATCTTAGATGATAAACATATGAAGGCACCCCTAACAATGTGAGTGACAATTCCATTCCATTATTGTGCTAAGGTAGCTTTGTTGGAATAATGATTTCTTTATCATAAATAATGGCTATTCTTGTTTAAGTGAATTTATGTTTGGACATAGGAAACAGAAGTGCCTTAAATCTACTGAAAAGATCTAAAAAGTAATGATAATTTCCAAAATTGAAATAATGTGTTATTTTCTTATAGAAGTTTTTTTTAAATAGAATTAGAATTTAAGATTTAGAAATATAAAGATTTAGAAATATAAAGAGACCCACTGCTTTATTTTCCATCAGAATGAATCATGGTACATATATTTTTTTTATACTGAGAGGCAAGGTTTGCAACTTTTCCCATTTAATCTGTTGATGAACATTTGCCTATCTGTAAAAAAAAAAAAGTCACCTCTTCTCACAAAAAGCTTACCACATGCAATTTGATCAACTGGGGTTTCTGACAAGTCTTAGATTTTCAGTGTTTGGTTTAGCAAATGGTAATGCAGATACACTTCTTTGTGTTGGCATTGTGCCCAGAAATGGGGAACAATTTGTTTTCTCAAGTTTCCATTCTACTTTCTAAAGTGAAATTGATTTCAAAGGTATATTATGACATAGAAGAATGAAACTGGTATCTTAATATTGCATCATTGACAAGTCTACTTAACCGGAACCATTAAATATGTACAAAATAACAGCTGCTCTTGTATAAAACAGGTTTTTTGGCATGAAAACACATAAATGAAGATAAACCATTGATAAGTGAAGATAAACCATTTTTAAAAATATCTTTTGTACTCTGCATGATAAACATAGTTAATTCTGTATAATCTGATGTTTACACAGTACTCATAATGCAAAACCTTCTTAGGTAAAAATAAACCTTAAAATTCTGAAGCAAACATTTAATCAGAATACTTCATGCTGATTTTGTAAAATTCAATATATCCAGAAATATAACTTGCAAACTGTGGTAGTATTTACATCTATTTTGTAGATATATCCCAAATGAGCCATTAAGCCAGATTTTGTTTATTACTTGTTCAAAATGGCTATTACTGGAAACTTTCTGTTCTTAAAGTCTCATAAGGAACATGGAATCACATTTACTTTTTAAGATGAAAAGACTTTCAGCCCCCCTTAGGCTAGACTAGCAGAAAAGAAAACATTTGCTTGACCAATACTCGAATACAGCTCAACAGTATGGAACCCACATTACATATCTGATATTAACACTGTTGAGAAAGTCCAGAAATATTTCACAAAAAGATTTCTACACTCCTCTACTCATTGCAGAATGCCTTATGCCACCAGACTTAAAACTCCAGACCTAGAAAGCCTAGAACTACGCCTTCTTTGGTCCAATCTAAGTATAATATATAAAATCATACATTGCAATGTCCTTCCTGTCAATGAATACTTCAGCTTCAACCATAACAATACAAGAGCACACAATAGATACAAACTCAAGGTTAACCACACCAAACTTGACTGCAGAAAATACGACTTCAGCAACAGAGTGGTCAAAGTCTGGAAAACTCTACCTGACTCTGTGGTTTCTTCCCCAAACCCAAAAACTTTAACCTTAGACTGTCTACTATTGACCTCATCCCTTTCCTAAGTGTGCCTACTGTCCCTATCCTATTGTTTCTTTTATTTTTCTTATATGTATCCATTTCATGTATTCATAACTATGTTTATTCTTATACCTATTATCTTGTAAGCGATTGACAAATCAAATTAAGTTAAATTTTAAAAAGCTGTTTGTCATATCCATGGAAAGATTGTTTTTGCAAGTAAGAGAGATTGTTGTTCCCTTAACAGAATAAGAAGTAAATCTGGATGTTTGTCAATGGCTTAATAACAATGGTCATTATTATCCTACAGCCATCTGGAAATTGTGAATTGAGATGCTTTTTCAATGTTTATTTTGAAATAAAACAAATTAGAAATATACATTTCTTAATTTAGCTTCTCTGTTCAATATTAACACAAATAGCTGCACAACTGATGCCAACACCTTGCATTAAAATCTGCTGCGCTAGACAGAAAGATGGAAAGACATTGTCTGAGTTTGGTTGAAAACAAAATTAATATTATAGAAAGGAAGAATGAAAAAAAGAACATCTGCAGGCAGAGCCTCAAATCAAAAATAACACCCAAAAGGTTCGAAATGGCCACTTAGATGATGTATCAAAACTTTAGAGAAATACAGGTAGTCCTCAATGTACGACCACAACTGGCCCAAACTTTCTGTTGTGAAGTGAAACATTTTTAAATGGGTTTTGCCCCATTTTATGACCTTTCTTGCCACAGTTGTTAAATGAATCACTGCAACTGATAAATTAGTAACCCGGTTGTTAAGTGAATCTGGCTTCCCCATTGACTTTGCCAGTCAGAAGGTTGCAAAAGGTGACCACATGACCATGGGACACAGCAATTGTCATAAGTATGAACCAGTTGCCAAGTATCTTAATTTTGATCACATGATCATGGGGATGCTGCAAAGGTTGTAACTATGAAAAATGGTTGTAACTCACTTTTTTCAGTGCCATTATAACTTTGAATGGTCACTAAATGAATTGTAAGTTTAGGACTACCTGTAATATATAAATGCAAGCTTTAAAAGTTTTGCACCTCACAATAATGAGATGATAAGACACAGAATTGTCAATACTACCTAACATTTTAAAAATAGGAATTGTGTCTTAATTATGCTGTTTAGTAGCTGACTTTATTTATTCCTTCCTAAATGAAAGCTGAGTGACTTAATCCACTAAGAAAATTTATAGTTACATAATATATTGAATTCACCAAACCAAGGCTTCCCATATTGTAGGACCAATTTTGTTACTAGATGTAATCTGGATATACAGTAGATAGTGACATCTCCATTAGAACCTACACTCATGAAAGATATTTAATTTCTAGATTAGCAAAAGAAAGGTGGCAAGATGTAGAATCCTACAATAATAACAACAAATCTTTCTGGGGAAAAAGTGAAGTAAAAAGAAATAGCAATAGCATTTAAACTTCCATACTGCTTCACACAGCTTTACAGCCCTCTCTAAGCGGTTTACAGAGTCAGCATATTGCCCCCCAAAATCTGGGTCCTCATTTTACTGACTTCGAAAGGATGGAAGGCTGAGTGAACTCTGAGCCTGGTGAGATTCGAAATGCCAAATTGCAGGCAGCCATCCGTCAGCAGAAGCCTGAAGTACTGCTCTAACCATTGCGCCACTGTGGCTCTATGAAGCTTGAACTAATGTAGATTCGGATATACTACTGCTAATGTAGATACTATACCCATCTATTATGGAAAATCTGTTTTACAACTGAGAAACATTAATCATTATGTTTGCTGACATCATCTGCCAAATGTTACTTAATCTTCCAAACAACTTTGGCAGAAGAGCAATACATTTTGGCTAGATTGTTCCTGCAAAATCTTTGCCTGCTTCTAGGGGGAGAAGAACCATGTGAATTTACCAGTTTATCCATTTGCAAAAGTAGAAAACAGGTCAAGATAAGATGTTCATAAAATCTTTGTTCCTTATTCAATATCTCAGCTTCGAGTACTTGCTCATTTTTTTCTGTAGAGAAACTCATTCAGAGATAGGATACTGATTCATAGTAATCCTGAGTGTGGTCAATCTGAATAGACAAGTGAGCCTATCCCAAAATGACTGTGAAAGGGATGACAGTACCAGGAAGATGGCACTAATTTATAGTTAATTGATGGTCTTCAGTTTCCCTAAATAATTTCAGGTCATTTGATTATATGTTCACTAGAAGAGTTCTCCAGCCGAAATGTTGGCATGGTGGTGTCAAAATATGATAATATTATCACTTTAAGAAGGGCGCACTGGGATCAATTATCAATGCAATGTCGTATGAAGATGTGCATCTATAGGGATATTTCTAGTTTAGAAATTACTCAAACTAATTTGTTAAAGGCAGTACTCTTGGCTCCTTATTCCACACTTTACTCTCTCATTTGGTTAGGCTGCATCTCCTTAGTGGCCTGACTGAGGCTATGCTATCTTAAGTATCAGCTGAA